GCAAAACTGACCCTTTTACAGCAATGATTATCAAGGTTTTGATAAGGATGGTGACAACATGTCATTATTACAACAGAAAGCAGCTAAACTTATAAGAACCAAGGTGATCTAATGAAAACATTTCTTTAAAAGGAAAAAAAAAGAAAAGAAAAATCACAATGCTATTTTTATTTCTATTACCATCCCTAGCCAACACAGTTACTTAAAGATGTAAGGAATGCGGTGTGGCTGACTAAGAGACTTGTATTACCGCAGTATCTCTGTATCTTTGCAGAGCGTGAGCATCTCTGCCGTGATGTCCACAGAGTAAGATTAAGTTGAACCCAGATAACCAGTTTTAACCACAACAAACCCTAAGGGTCTTGCCAAAGAAGTGCAACGTGCAGCAAACTGCAGTTAAAAGAAATATTTCTTAAATATTTAAAGTATTTAACAGTAGTATTTAACTGCGGGTTTTATCCCTGCAGTTTTCTAACAGTAGGTATAAAACATGCCACACCTAAAAAAAAAAAAAAACAGGTAAAGCTTAAGTTCACTGATAAGCAGTCCAGCTAGCTTTCTCAAGATAATGAAGCAGAAACTAACTCACACTTACCAGGTTTCTTCTCTGTTATAAGCTTCATTGTTAGGCAAAATATATGCCCAAGAAGGCACACACAAGACTTTCTGAATACTATACAGGAGCGGCTTACAAAAAGAAGAAATTAAAACGCAGCTATCTGTTCTAGGTATTTATGAAGACTTCACGGAGAAAAGAAAACAACTCCTTTCAGCATTCTACGCTAGACCTGTGAACTTTACTAGGATGATCTTCACATCTTCCGAAACACTTGGTAAGCATAGGGGTGGATTCCTATCCATTCACCCTTCCCCTTGTAGACAAGAGTCGAGCGTTGATTGGCCAGGCTCACTTATCAGGCGCTTCTTCGCCACCTGAAACCGACCAATCACAATTCTCCAAATGCAACCTGAGGGTTGATGAATACAAAAGGAGGTCTCCCTGACAACGGCAGGCTGTAGGACTGAGCAGCAAAGCGAGGAAATGTCAACATGATTCCTCAGTTATTAAATAGCTGTTATAGTATACAGAAAAAAAAACACCATCAATGACGGCGTAATGGGAGCTCACAGAAAGATTTGCTATGATTGCGAGACGGCGCAATTTACAAATCCACTGCAGCCAGCTAGAGTGACACAATCAGCACACTTCTCTTTCAGAGCAGTGACAGTAAATGACTGACTGTAACATATTCCATTCACAGTAACTTACGAGGTCTGTTCCGTTTCACCGACTCCGTCCTCCTTCGCAACCGGCTTCTCTTTGCCGGGGACCCGTTGCAGTCCTTCTCCTCCCCACGCTGCAGGTGATGCATTTCAAACGTGCTGCTGCTGGGTCCTGTGCTTAAGCCGAATGCATTGCTGGTGGAGCAGCTGCCGTTAGCGGCTACCACGACGAGGCCGTTCAACCCTCTTGGACTCTGAACGTTGTTGACATGAAAAGGTCCCGACGCTCCCTTCTTGTCCACCAATGACTTCGCTTTATCCATGGCAGCACTAGCCTAACCTAGCCTAGCATCCGCGGGAAACAGCCGGTGTAGGCTTTAGCTAGTTTAGCTTAGCTGGCTAACACTAGCCCCGCTGGCAGGCTTGTGAGACCGCCACGCGAACAGCGATGCCGTACTTACGCTAAAACACCAAACAAAATGTTTGCCCTCATTTTTACTGAAAAGCCGTCTGGGTTTTAAAATGGAAAGACTCGCTAAAACATAGCGTGTCCTTTGAGGTCACTCTCGGTCATTCCCCCTCATTGAGATCCTGGCAAGCGCGGCAGTAGTCCGTGTGTGTATTTGTGTACGTATAAAAGAGAATGTGTGGCTAGACTGCTACGTAGCAGAGTATCGCACCCGTCCACCTCCCTCGACCGGTTTTTCTGCTGTAAAAAAAAAAAAATCAGTGACTAATATACGATTGTGAATACGAGAATGGGCTCGTCCGTATCGCGTTCCTCGCAGGTAGATTAAAAGCAGAGCCTAAACACTAGCCTACAGATGGGCGCTTTATTTATGAGCCTTGCTGTCCGCTGTCAACCTCATTCCCCGCAGTCCTTTGCACGCGTGATGTGTTGATTCCACGCTGCCAATCTAAGAGCAGTCAAAAATTGAACTAAAGTAACCCCGAAAAAGCAGCCTATAAAAAAACCCATAAACATATTCTGTCGAGAGTTAATTACCTAAGGAGAACACGGTTTTGTTAGAGACTATATCAAAGGGCACATTAAGTAACTTGCACCTCCAGTCGACATGCAAAGGTCGAACAACAATGTCAGCTGGATAAAGGAAGACAATCAATGAAAAAGACACTTCTTCTATTGATACTTGAGAAAAGGCTTGATATATTCACCTGTTTTAAATAATGCCATATTATAATGTCATAGAAGAAAAGTTTGAAACGTTTGGCATGCATATCTATTTTAGCCCCCTTACATGTTACTCCTAAATAAAATTCAAATGCAAAAATGAATTGTCCAGAAAAAAATACCATAAACATTCAGCAATAGGGCCCTTAGAATGCCCCTATTAAGTCAACCTGTGTGTTAATTAAATCTCCACTGCTGTTATAAGAACGCTTCCAAATTGTGTTAGAAAACATTAGTGATCAAAAAAAGTGAGGCCAAATACAAAGCAGTGCTTGAAGTAAAACACTGCAAGAGACTTAAAACCTGTCCAATAGTACATTCTTCTGTCTTCTGAGACTTGAAGTCAATGTTCACATATACTTTTTATCCAGTCCAGGTGCTGCAATAAGAGAATAATTCCCGTATTTGATCAGATTGTTTTGAAAACGGAAATAAAATCTTAAGGCCCTGTGTCATTTTGACGGATTACTATTCGCACCCTTGAAGACTTGATGCAGATGCAGACATTTTCAATTTTACACACCGAGTATATCGTGGAGACAAACTAATTCAATCGATTCATTTTTTTTAAAAATCCTGAGTATCATGCCTTACCTGAAAACTCAATTAAAACCATCTCAGTGTTTGAGAGCTGAGAGCGCCTTGAAGAGTTATGGACAGGATGCTTTTGCAGCTCGCATAGTTAAGAAGGCCATTCAAAACTTTGGCTGATGTGACACTTGATATTCCAGTCTGTAGAGTGGCAAGACATACTGAACACAGAAAACTAAGCAAGAATGCTATTTTATGTTGATCTATTGATAGTCTAAATAAATGTGTAGGAAGTTTATCCTGTTGAGGAAAGAAAAACATGTGCAAAAGTTCATTAGACTGTAACAAGCGCAGCAACTAAATGTGTAGACGGCGTTGCCTTGCTCCATTTCTATCCATGCATAATTAGTACTTGACTCCCCCCACGTTTGCATTACGCAACAAAATGGAGCAAAAAGATATTACACAAAACCTAAAAATGGAAGAAGTTACTCTGCTTACTCAAATGTGCCATAAAATCAAACTAGAACATTTCTGAAGAAATTGGAATGCAGGCCTGTAAAAGTGTGCACATTGTTGGACCCAAATCAGGTGTTCTGATGCTGCAAATTAACCCTAACCCAAATGCCAAGAGTATCTAAAATGTAGTCAGTAGCATGTAGGGTATCACTAGCATGTTGACTAACATTGACTTACTCCATTCAGTATCCAACAATATTGTCTAAGCTAAAACTAGCTGCAATGCTATGGTTATAATGTAGAGAATAGCATATGGAGTAAATCCATGTTGGCTGACATGGATACTCTATTTAGTTTGTCATGAGGTAGTCATGGGAATGTGCGTTCAGACCACAGTATTGTTCATAATTGAAGTGTAGTCGTTCACTTGTAGTTATTGGGCCACAGTCAGTGGTTCTGTCACAGAGGAGAAAAAGATGTGATTTGTTTTATGTGTGATGGGATCTGTTCAGCTTGTCCAATATTAATTAAATCAAATGAAAATTAAATGCAACTGAATGGCGTATGGCATCATTATAAAACATTAACTGGTAAAAATAAATTATGACAGAATTTTCTGTCAGTCAAAATGACAGACACCAGAAAGGTCTAGCGCAACCTCTGATCCAATCTGACTGAGACTGACCAATCTTGTAAAGAAAATGTACGAACAATTTTGTCTCGATGTGTAAAGCTAAGTGCTCCCCAAAACCTGCAGCTATGATTATCTATAATTAGCTATTTTACTTCGCTGTAATTGTTGTTTAAACAGTTTTATCAATCATCAATGAACTAATAAAGGTGCTATTCATAATAGTTCCTTTGTTTACTAATTAGTAAAAGAACCAAAGTTTTTTTTATTTAATTTGAATAGAGTTTAAATTGAACTGCAGAAAAATGTGTTTCTACAAATACAAGCATGTTAGATTTTTATTTTTAAAACATTTTTGAAAACCATGTGCCATATAAATGTCAGTTATGCCCCACAATGTACCATAAAAATTCACCTCTAGAAACAGACTGTATTGATACACATTAAAGTGATATTCTCAAATAGATAGTCCTAATTAGATTATAATTAAGTAACAATATTATATGGAGACAATCAAAAGTAAGCAGTGGGCCCTTCAATCCAAACTTGATAAGAGTAGTGAGAGAAAAAAAGATGGAAGGTGAGACCTGTTTATACCAAATGCTGCCCTCTTCTGGTTAAGGAGTGCTTGTGTTATTCATTGACGGGGAAAAAATGTGAAAACAAATTTACTACATAACCTAAGTGTGGTAAATACACTTAGGTGTATTTACTCCCTTATGAATTTAGACATTTCACTGTGCTGTTATTATCTTTTAAGTGCACAAAATGCAAACCAGACTTCATAGGAATTATGTTAATGTACATAAAACCATTAAAAGGCGAGTTTATTCATAACCCAGACAATGAGGTGCATGCCAATAAGTTAAAATATTTGTTGAAAATGTTCATTTTAGTAACTCAATTCACAAATCACATTACAGATTAGTTACATACAGTCAGGCTGTTTACAGGCCTTTTATTGCACTATCAAAATTAAGCCACACTTTGATAGTGGTTTGAAATTGTACATTTAGAATCCTTATATGCAACCAGGCTCTGCTGACTTGGAGTAAACTCATTATGACTGCTTTCTACAATAATATTACTGTCATATTTCCTGAAACTGAACTCACTTTTCTTTCTGAGATATTTTCAGCCTGTGTTGCACTCGCAGCATATTTAAAATGTTTGCAAGGCCCAACAAGACAGCAGATCGTTGTCCGTTTGGAGAAGCTGCTTTGATTCTCTTGGAAAACTGGACTACATTTGCGTCCAGGGCCCAGATAAAGCAAGCTTAATTATTTTCTAAACACATTTCCTCATCTTCAGTATTTGCAGACAAGATTTCAACAGATTTCATTTTCAACACTTGTGTGGGGAAAATAGAACAGAATTAGGTCAGAGAAAGAAAGTGATTTAATTGTACTTAAAAAAAATAACTTTAACAGAAGATAAATGTGTTCTTCATAAGGAAAAAGTGAGAACACCCTGACCCTGGAGGAGCTAGACTTGCACTGTTTGGTGAAGATCCTTTTCGTGAGCTGAAAGTCAAGCCAAGGAGGACACATGAATGAAGCAAACACTGTGCAGCACACTGAAAACTCCAACCTCATACTTTAAAATGTTTCTTTAAATGGGAAGAATCTGGTCCAAGCTGATAGAAATAGCCAAGTTCTTAATTACCAAAAAACCAATACAGATAAACACCTTGAAGACAGACATCCAAATTGGAGAGGCGGAGGAGTCTTAACCAGCCCGACATCAAAATCCAACTCAGAGATGGATACAGTGATTAAAAGTTTACTTGCACATCTGTAAGTTCAGATCATACACACCAAGTATTTCACAATCTTTATTTGTGAACATGTTGTTAAAACAGTCTTGTATCTTAGGGCCACACATTGTCTTTAAGGATTTATTCTAATTTATGCACTTTGGTGTTGAGGTAGAAAGGAAGGTTTCTCTGTGACTTGATTATTATGTTAAAAAACACCCGGTTTGTTTTCATTGAGTCAATGGTAAAATTCATGTTTATCGCAGCATGACCTGCTCAGACAGTTTGCACAAAGAGGCTGAAATCACATGTATGCCTTCGCGGACTTTTTTGGTTCTACCAAGGAAGCTCGGTCCCGTCCCAGCTGTACGCCTTCCCGGTCTTTTCGATGCTCAGTGAATTAATGATGCCCATCAGACAGTCCACAGAGTGTTCAGCACTGAACAGCTTGTCGTTTGGCACATTCCGGTGATAAGGCCTGGAAAGGTCTGTGTTAACTGTTCCCGGATGTAAAGACACACACACCACCTGGAAGCAGCGGAAAAGAAACTGGAGGTGCTTAGAAATACTTTCGTCCATAGTTTTTGCTTGTACTTGGATTGTTATCGGGACAGAAGTTCAGACAGAAATCAAATTTATAAATTAATTTATAAATTAACAAAAAAAAAACATAATGACCATACATGAGTTTCCTATTCAACTGGATAAAAAGAGTAGTTCCCCAAAATACAAAGTTGAGTACAAGCGAACGTTTACCTTGGGTCGACTGCGGCCAAGTTCTATGGATAAATTCCTGGTAGCCATGTTGAGAGCTGCTTTAGACATTCTGTAGCTATACCAGCCACCAAGACCTGGGGCGTGGCAGAGGGGATTGGGAGAAGAAGAAGCACATTACATAAGATTTTACTCTTGGCTTTATTCTCTGCTTAAGTCTACATGTTATGTGAAGCACAAAGAAGGGCATTGTGAACCACATGTCACACTAAAGATACCGTTGTCTCCAATGGACCCAACTTTAGCTGTGATGTTGACGATGATGCCGCTGTGCTGCTTCGCTTTCTCTGGAGGCTGCTGACCGAAGGCGCCGCCGCCCTTCTGAAGGAGAGGGCTAAAATATTTGGCCATTACCAGGGGTCCCACCGTATTGGTCGTCAAGGTGGATATGATGCCCTAAAAAAGGTAAAAACTGAGCTGTGATGTGCATCTTATGAATGCAAAAATGCTTTAAAAATCCAGACAGTTATTGCAATGTCTTACAAAAGTATTCTTGCAACGCAACTTTCTTCCTATTTAGTCACATTACAGCCAGCAACCTCAGTTTATTGGGACACATAGTTTTCAGACAAAAAAAAAAGAAAGATTGTATTTCGCCTCCTTTACTCTGATGCCCCTAAATAAAGTTATGTGCAACCAACTGCCTTCAGAAGTCACCTATTTAATAAACATCCATCTGTCCAGACTCTGCGTGAAATGTTTTCTCATTATGAATACAGGTCTTCTGCAGTAGTCGTGAACATTTCATGGACGGCCGTTCAATCCATCATCCAAAAATAGAAGACTATACAGATAATACTTTCATTCCATGACTGACGCATGTACTTTATACCCCCCATGATCGACTGTAAGGTTCCAACAAGAAATGGGAGTAGGAGTCATCCCACCAATATTAGGCCGCAAAACCACTTCTGGAGGTAGTTAAATGTGGAGCTACTATGATCTGTAAGCATTGGATTTAGAAAAAAACGTGATAGTGACATGATAAAAAGAAAATACAGCTTCAAAAGCAGTAGAAGTCCGCAATGCACACACAGTCATCTGAGAACACATGGCCTGTGATCTATACAGATTGATTAGCGTGGTGTGATCCACCATAGGAGGTTGCATGTTAATTCTAAGACTATGATCTGAAAGGGGCCTACAGAAGGTCTACTCACAAATATGTAGTTGTCTATTTAAACTGTAATCCAAAGCAAGGTCAACGTTGATCATAGAAAGAGTCAAGAGATAAATAGTACCTCTGGAGGAGCTGCAGAAATCCACAGCTCAGGAGAATCTGTTGTCAGGACAAAAGGTAGTCATGCAAAGATCTGCAAGCTGAAGGAAGAGGAAACACTTGGAAATTTATTTTTGATCCATGCCCTCTATCAAATTTGACTAAACTTGAACTGTTCTGCAAATAATCGAACAAATGTTGTGTCTAGATGTGCAAAATAGATAGAGACCCACTCCAAAAAAGCTTACAGTTGTAGCTGATGTGTTGAATCAAGGGAGGCTTCTTTTTCATATTCTTTCTGATGGACTTTAACATAAAATTCTAATAAAACGCTCCGAGGTTTGTGGCTGTAACATGCAAATAAATTTAAGTTAAAGTGGTGTCCAAACCACAACGTCCAATCAAGCCAATGTAATAAACAACTTATCAGTCAAAAGGTAATGTTATTGTTCATATGAATCCGTGTGTTCAGAATCAAAGGAACCTCGCAAACTAAAGTTAAGTTGCCACTTAAAATATCTTTAAAATGTTTGACATCATTGACTCCAATCTTTGCAAAAAAAAAAAAAAGTTTGTCAAATCACGCTGTACCTGCGCAGAAACATCCCTCAGACTAGTTTCTCCTTTCCCGGTGGGGTGAAGCATCGCCGCAGAGTTCACGAGGAGATCCACCCGACCGAAGTTCTCCTTCACGCGCTCAGCTGCTTCGCGGATGTCCTCTTCCAGGTTCACGTCCAGCTTGAGGACCGTGAGTCTGCCCCGGTGTTGTCCCGCTAGGCCCCACAGCTCCGCCGCTCTGTCCGGGTTTCGGCATGTCGCTACGACAGCAGCGAGGCTTTTGTTTTTTAGTATGTGTTTGCAGAATTCAAGCCCCAGTCCTCTGCTGGCACCTTGAATGAGAGCGACGGGAGCAGCCATGGCAAGCGTTTCACCAGCACATGTGACGTAAAAAGTATCGTTTTGCTGCCTTCAAAATCACTAAACGCCTCGTATTTATGACACCTAAGAGTCTGAAGAAGATCTAGGAGGTTTAAATATCTGTAACTTTTAGCAAATATATTGTAAGTTTTGGTATATTTTTGAGGTTCCGTCGTTGACTTGTTTAAACTTTGTGGAAAGTTATTTCTTAAAGACGGTAAGAAAAAAAACAAGGTGTACTTGAAGGCAACATGTTTCACAACAAGAAAGTTACGCCCTCTACAAGCCACTTTTAAAACCACTTATACAATTTATTGCACGTGGCCATTATGAAGTATACATAATACAACAAGAGATAATTAATGGAGTAAAAAATAAATAAGAAAACAAATAAAAAGTCGCAAATAAATAAATTTGTGAAATATAAGTTTTCACCTTTGGTGGATACACATACGACAATGACAAGTTTAGCCCAGTAGATGGCGGTAACGGCCAGTTATAATTTTTGAGCTAAAAGGTAGTCTGATAGAATTTGTAATTATGCACTAAGAACCAAAGACTGAAACATATATAAAAAACATATATGTGACAAATGCCTAATGAATAAAAGAGAAAGGGAAGAAACCCAGATATAAGCGAACCACCGCAACAACATCCAAAGAAGAAGTCAGTTGCCTAGCGACCAGTGGAAGCGTAATAGCAGTTAGTAGCTAAGCGTTCGGCTAACAAAAAGTGTTTGTGAACCAAAGAGCTCTTAAATGCCTCCGAAAAGGCGAGGACCGCTGCAACTCGCACAAAGAGAAGTGGACGAAGTCAAAAGACAGGTTTGTTAGAGAAAGACGCCTTAACTTTGTTACAGTTTACTCTTCAAACAATGAATTATGATTTTTAATAACGAACCTCAACTGAAGCGTAGAGTTTTTATTACTGAAGCCATAGCCAAATACAATGTTAACGCAGATTTAAACAGATATGGAACATGTATTTTTTTGTACAATTGAGACTTGATTACGCATAGAGTTTCATTGTTTTGCTGTGAAACAGCTTGACAGTCTGGAAAAGAGTGTGAAGAGCCAAAATGGATCCAAAGAGGAGGCACTGCATAGGTGGGCAGTTATAAAGGACTGGTGGCAGCCATATTTCTGCTTTTATCTTCATTTAATTTTAAATGTTATTTAATTCCTTTCATCTAGTCTCTGTTTGGTTTTTAGCACATTTATTTATTTGGTTTAAATCTGAATATCATGAACAGATGCTACGAGTTGCAAGTTTCTGCAGAAAAGACTCTAAAGGCTCTACAGAATTTGACAAAGGTATGTGTCTTGCTATTAGACATATTAAATGATATTTGGGAAACTCCCCATTATAGCCGATATTATATATCTACTTAAATATTAATATACCTTATTTCTTAAAGATATTCATCTTCCAGAAAGATGAATATTGTTCCACTGGAAACTCTGTGACACAGTTTCAGTAATACATTTGCAAGGAACGTAATGTGCTACAGCACTAAATAAATGAAAAAAAAATAGACTTTCATAATGCTATATATTATGATACTTTATCAGAAAATTCCTCTATAATTTTATGGTGCATCTGCCAAACTAACTTTGTTGTTCAAGTTGTCACTAACTTGACTTTATTGATTTTGTTTTTCAGGCTGATGAGCTGGCTCCAGTGGGAAACTATGATCAGAGGAAACTAGAAGAGGAGAGACGTCTGGGAAACATCTTGGAGCGTCTGGTCACCCTGTCTCTGGAGCTTTCACCACCAGGCCCCAGCACTCAAGCCGGGTAAGCTCCACTATGTATGCTTCAAGTAAATAATAAAATACAAGACGTATTAATAGACAAAATAAAAACGCTCAACATTAGATTCATAGTTTACATCTTGTATACATATTTTTCTTATGTTTTGTCTGATTTGTTTGACATGTACAGTATGATGTGTTGGAATTTTTTTTTCTAAATTTTATTCATTCACATTTTTCATTGTAAAAAGTATGCTTTGTTTTACCAGAATTCTCTCTGTGATTATGTCAATAAAACGCGCTACATAAATAATCCTCAATTCTGACATTATTTTTTTCCGTTTTTGTTTTGTACTTGTAGCAATGCTTCAACAAAAGATACTGACAACAATAGTGACGATGACAGCGACGATGATTCTGAAGAAGACAGTGATGGTAAAGATGGAGGGGATGGGAGTACGCCTGAAAAGCCGCCCTCTCAGTCAGCCCCTCAAATCTACAAGGTCCTCAGCGATTTCAAAGCAGAGCAGGAAGGAGATCTGTCTGTTCGGGTAAACGGCTGTATGTCTGTCGATAGCTGTGCAGGCGATAATGCATAAAGTTTTGGTAGCTAGTGAGGTAAAATTATTTCAATGTCCTATTGTCAAATTCTTCCAGCCTTAACTAAGAATTCAATTACAACATGCAGTAGAAAGATAAAACAGAAGAGGGCACTAAAGGCTTCTGTGTTGCCTTTTCATCTCCATCAAGCTGATTTGTGCCGATCAATTACATAAAATTCCTATAAAATACATTGACGGTTTTGACTGTACATTGACAAAGTATAAACAAGTTTAAGGGGTGTGAATACTTTTAAAAGGGAACATTATTTTAATCTAATGTCCAGTGTTGGTGTCTTAACACAATCTATGTGCAGTGCCTCTGGGATAAATGACACATAATAGAAATAAGTGGATTCTGTCTGCTTTGTGGCTCTTTTTTCCCCCCAATGTTGTCTTGATCATAAGTTGTTGAGTATTTGAAAGCCTTTTTCTGTGATTTCATCGCTAAAGCTAAGGCTCGTTTCTTGAAACGTTCTTACCTTTTCAGAAAGGAGAAGTGTTGAAGATAATTAAAAAGACAGCAGATGGATGGTGGCTGGCTCAGGACAACAAAGGGAACAAAGGAGTTGTTCCTAAAACCTATCTGAAGGTAACTGCAGAAATACGGAAAACCACAGCTGTTTAAATTTCACCTGCACTTTACTGAAAATCTTAATTCAAAATTTTACCAATAAAATTAAAATATAACCTGCCGGTGTTGTACATTTTTTTTGCTTTTTTTTTTTTTTTTTTTGCAAAAGTCTTTGCTTTTTTTTTGCATTTTGATTTTTATTAGGTTGGCGTTGGTGTTAACGATGAGCATGACGAGGATTCTGATGAAGATGAGGATTCTGATGAAGATGAGGATGAGGATGAAGACGATGACGAAGATGATGAAGTCCAGCAGTCGGAACAGGAGGAAGAGGAAGATGAAGTTGAAGATGAGGCCGACGATGGCAACAAAAGGTATGACATCATATATTTACCCAGGTTAAATTGTCAGTGCTTTATCCTGATTCTGGATGTTTTTCAAATTATTATGAGATAATGTAAAAGTAATCTTAGCAGTCCTGTTTGTTTATTTGTTTTGCGTTCATTTATCTTTCACAGCAAAGCGTCTAACTGGTCAACTGTCAGAAAGGCTCTGACGGAGGTAAAACTGTGTATCTGCCATAAATATATATTCTCTACCTTCTGATGCTATTGGTAATATTGCTGTCTCCAAATAAAAACTTCAAATATTTTTGTTAATTACACGACATTAATTGTATGTGCTTGCGACAGATTGATACAACAGATGTGCTGTCAGCAATGGGAGCCATTCCTTCAGGATTCAGGCCATCAACTCTCAGTAAACTCCTGGCAGAAGAAGGTCATTATACATCAAGTGTTACTCTCTCTTTGTCTCTCTCTCTCTGTATGCACGACCACTGTCCTTATCGAGCTGCAAAACTCTGGGTTACATGAGAACTCATTTGGATTTTGTAAAATGTTAAACCCCAGAACTGTTCTGTTAAAACAACAATGAACAGATTGATTAAACTTGCATGATTCTGCAAGAAGCTCCTTGTCAAAAACGTGGCTCTGGATCAATTCGGCCAATTTGTCCCCCATTTGCAGCCACATGTGATCATATAATCCCTTCAAACCTGTAAAGAAACCATTTTGTACACGTGCTTAAAAATGGTTAGTTTCTTAATTTTTTGTTAAGTATTTCTTTTTATTAATTTTGAAGATGATCATAAAAATGCTCAAATCGCAAGTAAAATCTCAATTAAAACAAATAGATTTGATTAAAATAGCAATCTAAAAAATGACTGCTTAGAGTTTTTGCTGCATTTTCCAGCTGTGTGTGTGATTCATGGTCTTATACACGCTCATAGGTAGATGGAGGGCTTGCAAATAATTAATGGGAATATCTCATTGTTAGTAAATATAACTCTCCGTGGGGAAACCACTTATTTTATATATTGTTTGATTAAAAGGTGAAAAAGTCAAGGTTTTTGTCTTGTCTTGTTAAAGGGGAGCGATACAGAGGAAGTCACTATATTCAACCTGAGCTCAGCCAATCACAGCTGTCCTTTAAAGATCTCTTCTTAGACCCAGACACCGGCAGGGTGAGCGCTTCTCCGTGCATGCATGTTTTTATTACTGTGCAACCTTCATAGTGTCTAATTTAACTATGTTTCTTTCTGGAGTTTGCAGTATTTACCCAGTTATGACCCATTCTGACAAGAACAGGGTTACTTTTGTTAACTTGTGCAGGTCCGCGCACGCCAGGTCAGGAACTGTGTTTGTTTTAATTTGTGGAGCTGCAAGATGATTCCCACTCCTGGGGTCGGAGTTCAGGTCCTCAGCAGACACATCCGTATGTGTGCCTTTGATGGAACGCAGGTATCAGGCCTTTTCTCTGTTACATACGACATAGTTATCCTCTCTGTATGTAATTTACTTAAACTAGACCGTAACGTATTTTCCAGGTGTTGAGTAACATCCACACAGTGAGGGCGTCGTACACCTCAAAGAACCCAAAGACATGGAACTTCTCTCCGAGGGTTTGGGAGGACTCAGGCTGCCACATCATAAACATTGAACACTGAGATCATGTTTAAAGATGTTTACTCATTTCTGCATTTTACGTTTGTCAGATGACCAGCATCTTGCCAACTATCCTGGACGGAGACTGCTTCCTTCGCTGCAACTCTTTGTCTCCGAACATTGGAGTTCTTTTTGAACTTGGAGTCACTTTTTTGCGAAACGTAAGTGTTCATGTGAGACATGTATTATGCCATGTAAAATTTACTTCCGTTTTTGTCTGTACTGCTTCTAAAAACAAACTAAGTGTTTTTTGGTGTCTGGAAAATGAGCCGTTTCAAAAACCTTCTGAATGTAACGTCACAAATCAGCAAGCACTGCCTCTACATTCTTGTTGGTTCCGCAGGAGGCTCCAGTTCTGCTTTTCAAAGCCGTCCGGTTGTATAATTACACAGCTGTGTGGAGCCATTTTCATGTATGAGTGTAAGCGTTGAGTTTAGGGGCTTACACTCAACGGCAGTGGCCAGTAGCAGCTTATTTGGATTTAAAATGACACGAGACTCTAAAACAGCTCATTCTGACAAGAGACTAAAAATCATTCTTATTATCTAAGAAGGATTTTATGAAAAAAAAATATTCTGTTTTGTATATCTCATAGACCTATCTTAGCCTGTTCAAGGAAGCATAATAGGTCACCTGTAAGATGTGATGTGTGATTTTAAGTCGACAGGTGAGAGAGGAGACCTGAGCTGTGGTTGGACTTTCCTCAAACTAACTGATGACAGCGGAAATCCACTCCAAAACAGGTAAATGAGAAGAGATGTCGATGAATAAAAGAAAATATACAGAACTTGTTTGTACCTCAATGTAAAAGTAGTTAAAAGCCGGAAAAATAAGCACATTTTTTCCATGATTTCCTACTGAGGAAATCCAACCTTAATTGAATTCAATATGTTGTCCAATCTCCTGCATAGAACCTATGAACTGCCAATAAATGGCGGAACGCCCTACGAGAAGAATGTCATATTGGAAGCACCCGTTTCGAGAAGATGTAAGGAAAAGAAGCCAAACTTTTTAAAATGGTAACAGTTGATGTCTAAACAAACAAACAAACAGAAAAGAGTCTATTTTGTATCTTTTCTCGACTTCCTAGCTCCGGGTGGCGTTTTTCAGCAGATGCTCCAGGCCCGACGGCAGCCCAAACTGATTGTTAAGTTGAAATCGGCAAGCAGTCGGACCAGAACGCAACTCAGGTAGGGGGGAATGGGGGAAAACAGCGAGAAGAGCCAGGTGCCAAGTTTGAACACATGCAGAGGATTATGTGATCAATAAATCACTCCAAGTTTCAGTCAGACACATTCCTGGCTCTGCTTGGATTTACACGTGTGGGCGATTAAAGTGACAGCAGACCCATTTTACATACCAAAATGTTTCACACTTAATATTATTTCAGACTAACTTTAAAATAGATTACTTTCTCCTGAAACATGTTCTGTGGTATAATATTCACAAAACTGGACTCAGACACTTCACTTATAATTTATTTTAAGACTTTTTTGGCAACAGTCACCAGGTCTACCATGCAATGCCCCTAAAAGCTTGGCACACTTTGCTATGCAACATTTTTCTCTTTTTTTTTTCTGTCTTGGCAGAAACACTCAAGCTCAACTAGTCAGGAAAAGAAGCTGTAGGGAATGTATTTTTCCATGCGTGGAACAGATTTCGGGCTATAAAAATGTTTAGCGAGAAGGTATAACGGCAGTGTAAAAAAATGAATATCCATCAGTAGCCCTACCACCTTCACCGCCACAGTTACCATTTAGAATTAGCAAAAATAATTGTCAGATTTATTTATTAACATCTTAGGATCAGTTTTTATATGGACTCATTGCTATCTCTTTAAACAATGAGGGAAAATCCAGCTGATGTAATGGTTTTTAGTTGTGCACACTAATAGTTACCCAAAAACACATAGACACGCACACATAGACGTTGTCAATACAAAGTAGAGCTGGATGATATGGTTGAAAAACCTAACATCGTATAAGCGTTTCCTATCAGCCAATATCAATAATTGTCAACATCAATAATTATTCATAAGTTTTCTGTTTTAAATATCTGAAATGCTGCCAAACCAGAAGCATGACCTTTCCTGTCTCATCCACAGTTTCCGCTCGAATCGTTGTTTTTACAAGTTACGCAACAGTCTGTTGCTAGGTAACCAAAAAGTGAGCGAGTCAGCCGATGCCACCGACCTTGCTTAAATTGGCCATTGTTACGACTGGCTCAAGGTCGTAACAAAAACGGGAGACCATGCAGTGGTTAAGGTGCAGAACAAGGAATACGTATTAACAAAAACTACAACGGAGTGTGAAAGTCAGTATCAGTGGCGTAATTCAAATGCTTGTAGTGAGTGTAATGAGTGCATATGGAGGTGTTGAGGAGCAAAAACAAAGACAAACTTAAATGTGCAAGAAGAAGGGAGTTGAGTCCTGACATCAGAACACCACAAGCGGCCGAGTGGACCCAGAAGGTGGAGACGGCCGGGTTTAAATACTCCGTGCTCCAAACCAACAGGTCAGCGGAGATCCCTGTAAAGAGGAGGAGCACAAAGGCAGACAACAAAAACACCTGCAGCCCAGCTTATAAGGCCCAGGGCCATAACAGCCATCTAAAGCCTTTCCTCTGCCTACATCTCCCAGAATGCTGTGCGGTTCTGGATTGGAGTTCAGTGAATATTCTGAACATCGATCAGATGTATTATCTGTTGATATTGATCACGTGTCTGTCGCGATGTATAATGTTATTGATTTATTGTCCAGTCTTAACAGAAAGCAAAACATTTAGTTTAGTTTGCGGTTTATTAACATGTCAGACGGGCTAAGAGCGCTGTAGTGTTTTTTTTCAATTACACAGTTGGATCCTCAATACAGTTTTTCTAGCAATTGTGAACACAGTGTAGAATGTGTGGCATTTCATTTTATCAACAAAACATCCAAATGTTTGGTTTTCTTCTCTCTATATTGATATATTTCCAGTTGCTGGTGTAGATGAGTGACACGTTCATGTTCCCCTTCAGTCTCCTCCCAGACACTCTGCTGCACTGTCTGAGCTGCGTCCACCTGCTGGTCCTGCACCGCCAGCTGCTGGCCGACACGCTGCTCATGGACAGACCCACCATGCAGAACGCAGGCAAGATTCTGACAACTTTAATCCGACATAAAAAAAAAAAAAACACACACACAAAATGAAATAGAATGCCTTCAATGTGGCCACAGCTCAAAGTGACACCGTCTTTTACCTTTTTGTCTCTGACGTAGATCTTATATGCAGTCCAATACTTTCAACTTTCCCAGAGCTGCTGGACCAGACAGACCTGCTAGATGCCCTCAGGGTGAGGGAAACTGTGGTCACGCTTGTTTACTGTCACCAAATTAGGTTCAGTTTTTTTGTCAAAGCACAAACATCAGACACTGGTTTGATTTATATTTATTTTTCTCAGAGTGCCTGGCTGGAAGCTGAGACCAGTATGAGCAGAACGCAGAAGGTTCGCATACATTCCTGTTAACTTATGTTGTCAGAATATTTGATGCGGGTGAAAAGCTTGGTTAGGTTGCTGCATCATAAATTCTTGTTTGGTTGGTTGGTTGTTTTTTTTTATGTAAGGACTCTGTGTGTGCAATCGCAGGAACAGCCTGCAGGGGGTGCAGTAGATTTAAGTGAGGAAGCAGAAGAATGATGTAGAAAATTAATCTGCACCATATTGCATTTTGCAATAAAGCAAAGTGTGATTCTCTGTTTGCAGAGAGACCTGTCGTACCTGAAGCAGGAGTTTAGTAAAGTCTACATGTCGTCTGTGTACTTCCTGCTGCACTCGCCCTCTCTGCCCTGCTATCGCTGGGCCGACCCGCCCTCAGAGGAACAGCGGGCCAGGGTCATCTACAACACCCTGGAGACTCTGAAAAACTCCCAGCAAGCCACCGGCCAATCAGCAGCTGCGGGAATCTTTTTTGACTCCTCTCATTCACATCTTGCTTTCGATGTCGAGGAGTTGACCTTTGATCTCCTTTCCGCGACTCGGTAGCGATGACATCGCCTCCAGGACTGAAACCTCCTGTGATTGGCTGGGCTGGATTTAGGAGGATGCAGCTTTTCTGGGCGGAAGCCAGCTTTTACCCATGTTAACACAAGTGGACTGATGGTTATGAGCACTTTGATGGGGTTTTTTTAGGCACTGTCCAAATAAAAATAATTTGTTCTAAAACAATCTGTGTAGTTGTCCCAAATATTCTTTATAAACTAGTGGAAATTGCTAGAAATATCTTACTCCAAAAATTTTTTATCCAAAATGCCATGACAACCCGTATGGTGAGGTAATGCATAAAAAATACTTGTGAAGCATCTGGTTAAATCTTACCAGGGCGGAGGCAGGGTTATGACGTCATAGTTGTAAATAGTTACCTATTCTTTACAATACAAGAAAATTCAATAAAGATAAAAAACGCCTCACCCAATATGGGTTTAAAGGTTTATTCAAGGGAAAAGAATGTACAGTGTTCACAAAACATGTATTAGATAGAGAAAAAGTTTTTTTTTTTTTTTGAACCCACAAAACTTCAGCGCCCCCAGCTACAGTGATGTCCCCAAGGAAAGACAGGTAAGGGGCCCCTTTTGAAAAATGCTTGTCCATGTCATATTCTTCAATGGAAACATATATAAACTCCTCTAAATAAGTAAGTAAATAAAGTTATGTCATGTTTTTGTTTTTTTTAGCTGTGCCCCTCTAATATTTTTGCTGCTGTTGTCTGGCCAATCCTGTGAAATTTTTCTGGGATTTCTACTGCCAGGCTATTGTAAAACGTACTTCAATTTGTTCCCAAAAGAATGTAAATATGCCAATATTAGATTTTGTAAAATGATAATAATGGTGATATATCTAATAATATTCAATATTATATAAAAAAGAACAGAAAACAGTTCATGTTCGCAATGCTTTTGCTTTAACGTTTATACATTTTCACGATAAGCATTTTTTTTTCCAAACCCAGGTAATAATATAAATTAACAGATGTTCTTCAAAGAAGATTTTTCAGCCAGTTTAGTGGTTTTTATGCCAGTATCCATCCTTACACACATTACAATGTAATTGTGTTGCCTAGAAGTAACAAAAGCACTTTACATTAAAAAGTACATATTCTATTGTTTATTTTTGAATAACTTTTTAATAATAAAACATTAGTTGGTATCAGTTGTTGGTTTTGTTCCAACATTTACCTGAGCTGCTCTTTTAGCTGTGTCCTCTGACGGGTCACTGAGAAGCTCCAGTCTTCTCCACCCATTAGTTCAACATCAGTTGTGTGTGTGTGTGTGTGTGTGTGTGTGCGTGTGTGTGTGTGGTGTAGAGTTACAGGACAGCAGAACACTGTTTAGAGTTAACAATTAGCTGGCGTGGGTTTTTTTTAGCCGGGTATAAAAGCAGAGGAGCAGTGGGAGGCTGGTTCAGTGTGAGCTCAGATGCTCACACATCCGAAGCGACATTTAAATGCTGCAGAAAATATGTTGTGTAATGTTGGAATAAATAAAAATCATATACAGTAAAGATTATTGAACGTCTTATAAATGTTTCATTCTTGCTCGGACATTGGCGATATGTTATTTATTGAAACGGTACACCAAAATAAAAATGATGCAATATTTGCATTTATTTGACAGCACATTTCTCAAAAAAATGAGCTGAAAAATACAAAAAGTTAGCATCACAACCATTGATTCTGTGTATTATGTTAGCGATTTACGTGTTTCTGATCTTAAAATGAGCACAATTAACACTGAATTTAAAGGAAAGGTCCAGTTAATCTGAAGGGCAGCTCAGACGTCCGCGTGTCCATGAACGCACCTCTGAGTTGTTGTTGGAGAGGTTCTTCTGTACAGATGCTATTCTGATGCACAGATGCACTTAGAATAGAGTCTTTATCAGTTTCAGTGTTTGCAAGTGAATCACATTTCACATCCCGTATTTCCACATTCCGCCGTTGTTGCTGTGGCGATAGTTTGGCTCCCTTTGCGACCGGATCAAGCTTAAAAAAAGGACAAAATAAAGATTCTTCAGAACATCCTGCGGAATCACTGGTCAGGTTAATTCAGCAGTCCCACTAAACCTTTTAAAACGACTACCAGAAAACAAAACTGGGTGAAATTTTGAAAAGTTATCCCTCTGCATATTATTCAATGTTTACTTCTTGTGAGAGGAGTGGTACTTTGAGAGGACAAGAAGTCTGATTGCTATTGTCAGCTGGAAACATTGAGACGCTCTCACCCAGTTCTGCCTTTGTGCCTCAGGACAACCATTGTCATTGAGGAGGAGGCAAAATGTCTGGAGGGTGGGGGGGGAACCTGGGGAACAGGGAGGTGGACACTTTCAACCAAACCAGGAGAGCTAATAAATACATTTTTAATCATAGCTTCTTTTTCGCTATGCTGTTGGAATAAATCACAGTTTAAGAGAGATGGAAGGAGCCATTTTGACCCGTTCCTCCTGTCAGAGCTGGTGTTACAGAGTCAGGTTTGTAGGGTTGCCTTGTTGGCACACCTTTTCAGTTCTGCCCACAAAGTTTCTGTTGGATAGAGGACTTTGTGATGAAAACATCCAAACATAGACTTTTTGTCCTTCTGGACTAGTGTCTACTTGAAACAACCGCTGGTGTCCAAGCTTCAACGTGCCGACTGATGCACTTCAAAGTTTCTCATAATGTTGTTTTCCCATGATGCTATCAATTTGACAGGTTTCTCCTTTCCCTTTGTGCTTCACTATGGTGTTCTTCATCTCCAAATGTAACAACGGTCATTATTTCCAAAACACTCATTTTAATTTTCATCAGACCACAGGACACGTCTCCAAAAATGAAGGCCTTTCTTCCCTTTTTCTCTCTCGTTTTTTTTTTGGGAGTAATGGCTTCTTTTTCGCTGAGCGGTCTTTCAACCCATATTGGCGTAGGCCCAGTTTTACTGTTAGTCATTTCACCGTCTTACAAGCTTCGGTCAAAATTTTCACAAGGACATTTTTCCCCTTTGTTCCGGGGTTAGTTTGCACATTTCACTCCAAAACAAATGCAACTCCGGGACACAGAACCCGTCTCCATCCTGAATAGTGTGAATAAAACCAACGTATAGCCTTCAGGCGTCTGCAAATTGCACCCAAGGACGAGCGAGACTTTATAAATCTTTACATATCGAGCCTGATTTAATGTAAATCCACTGACGTTCAGGGCTTTCCCAAGCTGCATAAAGGCATACGAAATGTTATATGCAAACGCTGGAGTTTGTATTACAGTTAATTATGATCATTTTCCACTTAAAGCTGATGAAAACATAGTATTAAAGATTCAAGATTACTACATCAGAATAAAAAAAAGTATTTTTAGTACAGAAATGATTGATGAAAAGTACTTTTAATATATTCAAATTGTACTCTTAAATTTGACAAGCAAACGTCATAGGAATGCTATTTGTATGAGACGTTGATGGAACACACAAACAGGAGTCGAGACTGTTGATCTGAGATAGCCAATAGTGTTTCTTTCGCAGAGGTCAAAGGTTAGCTACAGAATCGTTCCCCTGCAGTTTGCAGAAATTCACCAGAGCAAAGTTGTACAAACACAAAGGCTTTGAACCATCATGTTAATGTTTGGTTTGTGCCGCCTTTTCTAATCCGTGAATCTTTATGCCAGAGATCACAGTGGAAATACCTTGAAGTTATTATGCTTTCCTTCATTTTTAACCGATGGAATGCGCGGCGTTTTGACAAGGAACGTTTTCAATGAGGCCTTGATACACAATGCATTCTTTGTCGTTCCCCGTTGGTGAGTATTACACTGCTGAGCGACACCTGACCCTGACAAATATCTATTGTATTTTCCCGGAGCTGGCAAAGTTCCCATGGAGGTGTGTGAGTGTGTGTATGTGTGTGTGTGTGTGTGTGTGTGGGGGGGGTTGTGGGCGGGAGGGTTATAACCAGAGCTAAATGCAAAGAGCCGGTGCAAGGTGTGCCTTTTAACACAGCCTCTTTCAATGTGTAAATACAATGTGTTGAATCATATCATTTGAAACACATAGTGGATTAAATCAACAGTAATCCAGAATAGCGTAGAGATCCATGTGGAGATTTCTTTCACAGATGGTGAAAAATATAATCATACTGAGTTTATTAGGACACACAACGACAGTATGCAGCGTTTAAACCACCAGAAAATGGAGGAAGAACCTGGAAATGTGTATTGTGTGTCATTTGTTGTAATATGTGAGACGGATTTTACATTTTGAGGTTGCCAAGAACTTCATTTTTCTCTATGGATTCATGTTTTGATGCACTTCTTTTGAATTGTATTAAGTGATTTACCAGGGCTGGCAACGTTAAGCCATCTGTGTTACATAATTACCTACTTTGGCCCAAACGCGTCCCTCCAGTACAGGGTTGAAAGTTGAAAGAAGCGCACTACACGGTTCTTGTACCGCGGTCATCAGTGGAACGGCTCAAACCTGAGTGGAAACATGAGAGTCAGACTGGTGAGCTCAGCAGGAAATTTTGCTTTTAAAAAGACACAACGATGGACGTTTGGATACAACAAAGCTGCTGATGAATTATCCTTCCATTGAAGCACAATCAGTTTATAGTTTCTAAATTATGTTTGAAGCAAAAAAGACTTCTTTTAAACCATCCTGAATGTGGAAACAGAATGTTATGATTAACCATAATTTACTGAATTTTTTTTTTTTTTATATGTATGTCTGCAGTTGCTGCTCAATGACTGCCTGGTTTCTGTGGTCGCGTCAGTGTGACTGAACGTTGTTAGCAGGAACTGTTACTCCATTTCTGTCCTGACTTTAACCTGTACGGCAACACAGGAGGGTCTCTAAACAAACCTGAGTGACTTTAGCAGGACAACAGATGAACAGGTGGGTGCAGGAAGTGTCAGCACCGCAGAGCAGAGCAGGTTTCTCTAAATGAAAGACTTAGACAGAATGTACAAATATGGTATCTATTTTTTTTTCTTTGTATTTTCTGAATTTCTCTCTTGTGCATTAAAATCGACATTGACTGTTCATATGTCCAAATAAGCAGACTCTCAGCTGTCCTGGGGTGTCATAATTATTTTCACATGAATATAAATGAATATGCTGACAGCCTGGACTCATACATTCTGACACACTGTGCAGAATATGCATTATGTTGCAGGCCCAGGCAGTCCCAACAGTTGTATTCACACTTTGTCCTACCAAAGCCAAACCGATCAACCACATCTTGGTCACTCACTGAGGTTCTCAGTGACTAATGTTTTTTTTTTCTTTCATTGCAAAGCTAATAAAAATACAAGTTTAACTGCAGCGCAACTTAGTAAGGCCCTGTGCAAACAAGCTGTCATTGAGTTCAAAGGTCAGTCAAATAACGTAGGAAAAAAGAAACCTATTATAAACAAAGTTGAAGTAGAGTATTAAGAAGAAATTGTGAGGAGTTTCTTGGAAAAGGCCACTGTGCCAAACCCACAAGTGACTTCTCAGTTTCATTGGTTCATTGGTTGAATCATTGGCGATTCAGTGTTTTTCCACGAGTAGGGAGCGGCTGGGATCGGGTGCATCCACTCAAAGCTTTGAGAAAATATGAATATGAAATGATGAA